TATATACTCTACTGTCATGTATAACTAAAAAGAACAAATGAAACATTTCACTTGGAAATCTATTTATAGTCTTATACCTTACTTCATTTGTACATCTTCAATTTTATGTATTATGATAGTAGTAATTTTGCTAATTTCTTCTACTATTTATGATAAAGTAATCCCATCCACCACTTTCCATGACATTTTCCTCACTTTCCGTAAAGCCCTCACTGACAGCCTCTGAAGACATGTCAAGTTTCTTTCATCGAGGCTTTTCATATTTCTGCCCACTTCCCTGACAGAAAATTGAGGTAGTATCTCAATTCTGGTACCCAAATCTGTTCCACTTATCATTTCTACATAATAACTTATTGCAAAACATGATGGTTAAAAGAATATTACACTCACAGATTCTGTGAGGCAAAAGTTCAGAGAGGACATGGGAGGGTTGGCTTTTCTTATCTCTATCATGTGTAAGTCTCATCTAGAAAGATTAAATGGCAGAGGATGCATATGTCATAAAAGCACCTTAATCATATCTTCTTCATGTGGCATGGGTTTCCCCACAGCATGACAATCTCCATAAAGCCTAAATTTTCTAGTAAACAAAGCAAAGGTTCATAGCCTTATGACCCAATCTTATCAAAGCCTTTTATGGTCACAGAGCATCACTTCTCTGTATTCTTTGAAGAATAGGATGTGGAGAGGTGGCACTGCTGTAGTTATTTGAGGGGAAATAAAATTCTCCATACTAGTTTATCAAGAAAGGAGATGAAAAAGCATAATGACAACAATGCAACATACATAATGACAAAAGAAAGAACCACTGTCTGCAACATTTTAACTTTGCTGTCTCTCAAACCCATATCAAGGAAATGAGAAGTCAGCAGATGAGAGGAAGCGCACACTCCTCATCAGTTTTTAGCTCAAGATTTAAAAAGCAGGAAGACTGCTCCTCTGCAGAGTGACTAAGGGAGTCACCGACATTCAACACTGAGCAGTAGAACAATTGTAGAGTCACAGAAAGTTGGAAACTTTGAACACAATAGAAGAAATAATGTATTAGAGATGGACCAGCTTAGTCACCAGCCCACTACCGAGGGGAGGGGAGTACAGGCAGAGATAGAAGAAAGTGTGGCAAATAAAATTGGCTTGCGAGAACCTGAGGAATATAGATGGAGGCTGATCTTAACTGACCCAGAGATGATGTGGGGAGGTGATAAGTGATCAAATTCACTCAGCCAACAAGCAGAGTCTGCCAGGAACCACAGCTGCAGTAATAGGAACCATTTACAGGAGGCCACAGGACAGCTAGCATAAGCTGGAGATTGAGAACTCATAAAGGATGTTGCCAGCTAGACTCAGCAGTTGCCTACTGTGGAGTCAAGGGTGCCTCTTCCAGAGTAATTGAAACAGGTGCAGCAAGGACTGTACCTAGGGTAATTTAGGCTGGGGAAACTGAGGAGATTCCCCCATTGTTGCTGACATCCCATATAAGCAACTGGGAAGATACACGTAACCAGTCAGACAGATTCATCTGTATTCAAGGTCTGATCCTTGGTAATTCACATCCATGGTGGTGGACTATGGAAAGTTTGTGGTGGTTTAGACTCCTCACCTTAAAAGTGGAATTTATGGGAGGACCCTCAGACCCAGATGTATAGCAGAGATCCACACATGAACAAACCCCATTTGAACCTCAAGAATACATCAACACATAAAATAGGGGAGAGAAAAAACCCAAACCAGCAAACATGCCCCACATAAAAACAGCTAGAGGGGGACCTCAGAATTTACAATAATTCTGAGACAACATCAAGAGAGTCATTGGCCTAAGTGAACATAGAGATATAGGCTAAAGGCATTAAGAACCTCTTCAATGAAATAAAAGCAGAAAACGTTCCTAACATTAGAAGTGAGATAAGACATCCACATACAGGATGTATGTATCCAACAATAAATAGACAAGATCAAAAAGAACCTTTCTAAGATACATTAGAATCAAAATTTCCAACATAGAAAATAAGGAAAGAATATTAAAAGTTGCAGGAGAAAAATGTCAGGTCATGTTTAGAGATAAAGGAATAGGCTCACTCTAGTAGGGCCTCCTGGAATGAGATATTCCAAGATCTAAAAGAAAACAACTGCCAGTCAAGATTGCTATATCCCAAAAAGAAGTTATGTGATGTTGAGAGCCACAGCCGAGTCGGGATGACGCATGGCATTTTTGCCAGAAGTAGTGGTTGAGAGGTGACGCCAGCGAGCCATGAAGATGATGACTTTTGAGTTCTCGCGGAGTTCCCGTTGAGTTCCGGTTGAGCTCTCGGAGATGCCTGAAGAGTTCGCATTGGTTAGGGAAATGCAGGAAGAGGGATTTTCTGGTTGGTGGTTCTTGGAGGAGCTGCGTGGGTGGCGTTCAGGAGAGTTCCCGGGGAGCGTGTGTGGAGTGTGCTGGTGGAGTTCAGAAATAAAGTTTGTTCCTGCTTCAGTGGCTCGTGATTTGTGCCCAGCCAGACGGCGGCAATGTTTCAGAATTGATGTGAAAATAAAACATTTCCAGGATGAGGATAAAGGAAAAGAAATTTGTGTGGGGTGGGGATACAGGTCTGGGGATTGAAACAGGGGCCTTGTACATGCAAGGCAAGCACTCTACCAACTGAGCTATAGATACCCAGCCCAAGGAAAACCTTCTTGTCCACTAAGCAAGCACTACAAAGAATGAAGATATACTGCACATAGAACAACTAAAAAACAAATCCAAAACATCCAAACAGATGAAGCACACTAGAAAAGCAAGTAATTAAATGAAAATTAAGATCAAATTAAATATAGCAAAAATAAACAAACAAATGAAAGGAAATAACAAACATTTATCCATAATAACATTGAATATAAATGGACTCAACTCTCCAATGAAAGACTGACAGAATGAATTAAAAAAAAAAAAACAAGATTCAACTATATGCTATTTGCAAAAAACTTCTCATAGGCAGACACCCATAGACTGAAAGTAAAATGAAGGGAAAAAGTATTCCATCCAAATGGAGTCCAGAAATAAGCAGGAATAGTCATTCTCCTATATTATAAAGCATATTTTAAAACAAATAATCAGAAGAGACAAAGAAAACTACTACATACTGGTAAAAGGCACAATCTAACAAAAAGATAAAATGATTATAAATATTTATGCCCCAAATGTCAATGCATCTAATTACATGAAAAATAAATACTTCTTTTTAAAATTTATTTTAGTTAGGTATATGTGATAGCAAAATGCATTTTTATTCATTGTACACAACTGCGGCACAACTTTTCATTTCTCTGATGTACACGATATAGTGTCACACCCTATATGCAGTCTTACAGGTAATCATGTCCATCTCATTCTACCATCTTTCCTGCACCCCTGCACCCTCCCCTATCAATGTTCCTCCATTTTCCCCATGCCTCCCCCTCCCTGTTTTGAATCAGCATCCACTTAGAGTATCCAAAAATTTCCAACAGAAAATTTCTAGAATTAATAAATGAATTCAGCAAAGTAGCAGAATACAAAATCAATACCCATAACTCAAATGCATTTCTACACATCACTGATGAATCCTCTGAAAGAGAAATTAGGAAAAAAAATCATTATAGCCTCAAAAACAATACTTGAGAATCAACAAAAGAGGTGAAAGGCCTCTACAATGAAAACTATAGAACACTAAAGAAAGAAACTGAAGAAGACCTTAGATGATGGAAAGATCTCTCATGCTCTTGGATAGGCAGAACTAATATTGTCAAAATGGCAATACTACCAAAAGTGTTATACAGAATTAATTCAATTCTTATTAAAATACCAATAACATTCTTCATAGAGCTAGAAAAAGCAATCATGAAATTCATTTGGAATCTTTTTTAAAATCTAGGCTAAATTAATAATCAAAATGACCATACTACCCAAAGCACTATACAGATTCAATGTGATTCCAATTAAAATCCCAATGTTATTCCTCATAGAAATAGAAAAAGCAATCATTAAATTCATTTGGAAAAATAAGAGACCCAGAATAGCCAAAGCAATCCTTAGCAAGAAGAATGAAGTAGGAGGCATCACAATACAAGACCTTAAACTACACTACAAAGCTAGTCTAAAAAAATGGCATTATATTGGCACCAAAATAAACATGTAGACCAATGGTATAGAATAAAAGACACAGAGAAAAACCCACATAAATACAGTTATCTCATACTAGGCAAAGGCACCAAAAAACATACATTGGAGGAAAGATTGCATCTTCAACAAATGGTGCTGGGAGAACTGGAAAATCATATGCAGCAAAATGAAAATAAATGTCTATCTCTCACCATGCATAAAACTCAACTCAAAGTGGATCAAGGACTTAGGAAATAGTCCAGAGACCCTGCGCCCAATAGAGGAAAAAGTAGACCCAAAACTACTTCTTGATGTTAAATCCCAGCTATATCCCAATAATACTGGGTGATTTCAATACATCCCTATCACCAATAGACAGGATCATCCAAACTTAAAATCAATAAATATATATTCTAACCTACATGATACTATAAATCAAATGGGCCAAACTGATACCCATGAAATAATTTCATTCAAAAATAGCTGAATTCACCTTCTTCTTAGCAGCTCACAAAAACTTTCTCAAAACAGATCATATTCTAGGTCAAAATGTAAGTATCAACAAGCACCAAAAAAAAAAAGAAAAAACCAACCCTGATATAGTCCTATACATACTATCAGATCATAATAAAATTAAATTAGAAATCAGAAGCAAATTAATTATAGAAAACACATAAGCACATGGAAATTTATATGAGGAATAGATCATAGAAGAAATAAGAACTTCGAGGGGCCCGGACCAGGGGCGGGCTTGAAGACACGTCCTTTGCCTTTGGAGACTGTGACTGAGCTCCCTGGGTTCAGCTGGGGGCGGAAAGCTTTGGTCAGGGACTGGCCAAGAACGCGGCCCGCGAGATACCCGAAGGTGTCCATGACTTTCAAGCGGAGCCGTGTTGATGGCAATTTCGCTGACTGTAAAGTTGACTCATCCAAACTCAACGCCAGCTGTCAACATTCAGCGTAAAGTCACTGGTAACCACTACTCATCTGAGAGGACGGCCGATGATGCCTGTGTCCTTTCTGCCATCTCTGTTAGTTCAATGCTAGTATATGGAGCAATTCCTTATCAGCTGGGTTGGCTGATTCCATTCTTCTGTTCCCAGCTTTTTGACTTAGTTCTCAGTTGTCTGGTTGCTAGCAGTTCTCTCATTTATTTGCCAAGAATCAAAGAATATCTGGATCAATTACCTGATTTTCCCTACAAAGATGACCTCCTGGCATTGGACTCCAGCTGCCTGCTATTCATTGCTCTTGTGTTCTTTTTGGTATTTATCATTTTTAAGGCTTACCTGATTAACTGTGTTTTGAACTGCTACAAATATATCAACAACAGAAACGTGCCAGAGATTGCCGTGTACCCTGCCTTTGAAGCACTTCCACAGTATGTTTTGTTTTGCCAACCTACTAAATGAAATGGCAGTGAAGATGCCTGAGAAGGAACCACCGCCTCCTTACTTACCTGCCTGAAGACGCTCTGCCTCTGTCAATAAACCCTATACCAGCTTCTTGTCTTGTTTATTTTTACAGAATGCTGCATTACAGGGCTCTTTTGTTTGATATAAAATACATTGTCTTTTGTCTAAGCATTTATTTTCAAACACTAAGGAGCTTTTTGGACATTCAGTAAGTCTTTTTGTTTTTTGTTAAGTCTGTTACAATTTAATACTTTTCAAAGACAATCTAGCATAAAAAGAACAAAGTGCCATTGTATGCCTTCAACTGCATTTAACATTTATTGCCTACATTTTTTAAAAAAAGTTTCCAAATAATATAAAGTTCCACCTCAAATTCTTAGGGAAAAAAAAAGAGCAAACTAATTCCAATGTCAATAGAAAACCGAAAATAATGTCACAGTCGAAACCAATAAAATTGAGAATAAAAAAATATACAAAGCATCGATAAAACAAAGAATTGGTTCTCTAAAAAAAAAAAAGCTAAAACCCAGCTGAACTCACCAAAAGAAAGATTAAAAAGAACCAAATTAAGAAAATTAGAGCTGAAAAAGGAGCTAGCACCACAGATAATTCTGAAATCCAGAGGATCATTACAAATGATTTTGAAAATTTATACTCCAATAACTGGAAAATCTAGGTGACACTGGCAAATTTCTAGACTTATACAACCTGCAAAAAATGAACCAGGAATATAGAAAATCTAAACATACCAATATCAAGCAATAAAATTGAAATAGCTATTAAGAGCCTTCCAAAGAAGAAAAGCTCAGACAGATCCTCAGCTGAGTTCTACACCACTGTTAAAGTAGAGCTAACACCAGTCTTCTTCAAATTATTCCATGAAATTGAAAGGAAGAGAACACCCCTCAATTCTGTGAAGCCAGTATAACCCTGATACCAAAACCAGACATAGACACATCAAGGAAAGAAAGCTAAAAATCAATATTCCTGATGAACACAAATACAAAATCCATAATAAAATATTAGAAAAATTTATTCAAAACACATCAAGAAGATAGCATATTTACCCAGATATGCAAGGTTTGTTCAACATATGCAAATGAATAAATATAATTACCACATAAATAGAATTAAGAAGGAAAATCACATGATCATCTCAATAGATGCAGAAAAGGCCCTTGATAAAACCCAGCACACATTCATGTTAAAAAAAAAAAACTGGAGAAATGAAAGAAGGAAGAACTTATCTCAACATTATAAGGGCTATATATGATAAACCAAAGCCAACGTCATACTGAATAGAGAAAGCACATGAAAGCATTTCCTATAATCTTAGGAACAAGATAAGGATAATACCACTCTCATCCCTCCTACTTAATATAGTTCTTCTATATTCTATAGTTCTTTCAATCAGGCAAGAGAAAGGAAACTAAGGGATACAAATAGGAAAAGAATAAGTCAAATTATCTGTTTGCTGATGACATGATCTTATATCTAGAAGAACCAAAGAACTCCATCAGAAGACTTTTAAGTTGATAAACAAATTCAGAAAAGTAGCAGGATACAAGATCAATATTCAAAAATCAATAGCTTTTCTATACTCCAATAATCTCCGAGAAAGAAATAAAAAAACTATCTCATTCACAATAACCTCAAAAAATAAATAAAACACTTGGAATTAATCTAAACAAGGAGATGAAAGACCTCTACAATGAAAACTACAGAACACTGGAGAAAAAAATGAAAAGACATCCTTAGAAGATGGAAATAACTTCCTATGTTCATAAATAGGTAGAATTAATATTGTAAAAATGGCTATATTACCAAAAGCATTATACAAATTCAATGCAGTCCACATGCAAATATGGCATTCTTCAACAATTAGAAAAAACAGTCCTAAAATTTATTTGGAAGAATAAAATACTTAGAATAGCCAAAGTGATACTGAGAAAGCAGAGCAATGCTGGAGAGATCACAATTCCTGATCTCAAATTATACTTCAGAGATGGAACAACAAAAAGACCATGGTTATTGGCACTGAAAAAGACATGAAAGAAGAGCAATGAAATAAAACATAAAATAGAGAGACAAACCCTTATAGAAACAGTCATCTGGTACTTGACAAAGGTGTGCAAAACATGTTGGAGAAAAGACGGCTTTTTAAACATATCCATATGTAAAAGAATAAAAATTGATTTTTCACCCTGTATAAAAGTAAACTTGAAGTGGATCCAAGTCTTAGAAATTAAATGAGAAATTTTGCAACTTCAAGAAGAAAACATAGGTTTAACATTCAAAAAATTGATGCAAGCACTATGTTCCTCAACAAAAACCATAAAGTTCAAGAAATAAAAATAAGAATCAATAAGTATAACAGCATCAAATTAAAAACCCTCTGCACAGCTAAGGAAATGATTAAGATCATGAAGAAAGCCTACAGAATAGGATAAAATCTTTGCCGGCTATCGCTATTACATACATAAAGAACTTAAAATACATAAAGAACTTACAAAGCTTAACACTGATGACAAACAGTAAATAAATGATAAAAAAACCTAAACATTTTCCAAAAAACAAAACACAGACAGCTAACAAATAAATGGAAAAAATGAGCAATATATTTAACAATTAGGGAAATGCAAATCAAAACTACAGTGCAATTTTATCTCACTCCAGTTAGAATGGCAATTATTAAGAATACAAATAAAGGCTGGTGAGGATGTGGTGGAAATATACACTTACACATTTTTGATGGGACTGTAAATTAGTAAAATTACTCTGGAAATTCCTCAATAAACTAGGAATGGAACCACCATATGACTCAACTATCCCACTCCTTGGTATTTGTCTAAAATAACTGAAATCAGCTTACCACAGTAATGAAGGCACATCAATGTTTATTGCAACACAAGTCATAATATAGCCAAGAATAGTGCTCATCAACAGAAGAATTGAAAAGAAAAAAAGATATATATACATATGGATATACACACACACAATGAAATTAATTTATTCAGTCATAAAGAAGAGTGAAAGGATGTTATTTTCTGGTAGGTGGAGGGAACTGAGAACATCATGCTAAGTGAAATAAGCTAGATTCAGAAAATCAAGACTTCAAAGTTTATGTGGAGACTAGGGCCAAATAAGGGGGGGGGGCGTTAAAGGTGGTCAGATATAAAGATAAAGGAAAATTAGTAGTGTAGAAGAAAGAGATTGAGGGGGAGGAAGAAGGGACAGGAAGGGGGAAGAAACGCAGAATGAACTTAAAAATTAAGCTATGTGCATATATAAATATATCACAGTGAACACCACCTTTATATAGATAGATAGATAGATAGATAGATAGATAGATAGATAGATAGATAGATAGTTAGATAGATAGATAGATAGCACCAATTAAAAATAAGTAAATGAGGGGCTGGGGTTGTAGCTCATCAGCAGAGCACTTGCCTCACATGTGTAAGGCACTGGATTTGATCCTTAGCACCACATGAAAATAAATAAACAAAATAAAGGTACTGTGTCCATCTACAACTAAAAAAAAATTTTGAAAAAATAAATAAATGAGTGGAATGAAGAGCTACATAGTAAAAGAAGAATGGGAGAGGGAGGAGGGGAGAGGGAGGAGGGGAGAGGGAGGAGGGGAGAGAAAGGGTGACACTGGGGACTGAAATGAAGTAAATTCAATTCCTTGCATGTATGATTTTGTCAAAATGAACCAAACTATTATGAATAACTACAATGCACTAATAAAAGCATAAAAAATAAACATTATGCCAGTTTGAATCAATTAAATTATTGAAGCTTTATCTGTTTGCCCACCTCACTGCCATGGATGAGTGGAGACTGAACATCTTTTCATATGTGTAATGACTCATATAAATCAGATGAAAGAAGATTCATCTCATGCCACCTTTTAATGTCTTACCACAATTTGCTGACTCCAATAAGATATTCAATAATATGAAACTTATGATGTAATAAAAATATTTCAATAATAATTTTTATTGATGAAAATACCTATTGAAACAAAAAAATCTAAACTTTAAAAGATAAAATCAAAAAGCACAAAAAAGAACAGCAACGGAAGTGATTACAAATTATTTGATGCTTATCGCAAAGGTCTGATATGGAGAGATTTGGCAGGAGATGACTGTGGAGAGTCATAAGTTCTCCCATTTCTTAAAAGAGGATTCTCTTCCTCTCTTTGTTCTCTTTTCCTCTTCTAGGAAGGTAACAATGTTAGCCAAGCTGTTTTGAAAACAGAATCCTGGTGGTAGCTGACGACCATCGTCTTAAATCTGCAATAGCATTTCCAGGGATATACCACATAATAGTCTTATTTTTATATAGGAAGAGTGAGTGGATGGAGTTTTTAAAAAGTGTCAGAATTTACTGATATTCTGTGTAGAGAAGTTAAAGCAATGACCCCGTCCAACCACAAATGCCTAGGTAATTACCACTCCACTACTCAGTAGAAGAAAGGAAGTTTATTCTATAGAGCAGGAGTTCTGAAATGATGATCTGATTATACTTACTGTGCCCCTGGATCCTTTAAGGGAGGCTGTGAGGGAAAAAAACTACTTTGATAATAATAATTGTCACCTGCCTTTTGCATGCTCAGTCTTTCATGAGCATAGTGGAATTTCAGGGGCTAAAAAACATGTGTTATAGGAAAGACAAAAATGCAAAGCAGATATGAAAATCCACTTTTCTTCTACTAACTGGACATTAAGAAGATTTACAAAAATTTAAAACAATGCCTCTCTCCTCAATATTTTGCTTTATAAATTTTTATAAATGTGTCAATCATGTAAAAACTAATTGAATTGTTGCTAATTTACAATAAGTGAACAAATACTTTATATTATTTGCTTTATTTTCTAACATGGAAGCATTCACATGGAAGATTCACATAAATTAAAATTATTTTGGAGCCCCAATAATATGCAAGATTACAAAGGGAACTTCAGATCAAAATGTCTTAGAAAAATTATACCAGAAATATGTCAGAGTTCCAATTTAGTGATGTCAAGCACAACAGGGCAGTGTAGTGCACTATACTAAAAACAAAATAAAATTCTACATAC